ACATAGCATTTAAAACTGGTACTGCAGTCCAGATTCAAAGCATTGGAGAGAGCTGTCTCCCCCCGCCCCCTCCTCCCTAGAGTCGATGCTCATAAGGGTTGCACTTGGCATGAAAGCTTCAGTGTTTAGCCAGCTCTACATCCCTCTAGAAACCTTTCGATGATCTATCCTCTCTCCATTTTTCAAAAGCATCTCCATTATTTATCCTATTTTGAGCAAGTTTATGGTCGTGGCGCTTTTAAGAAAGGTCGGGTAGAATCCGTTATATATCTGAACCACTTCTCTTGCCTGTTGCATCTCCTGTTGGTTTGCCGTGATAATTGGTCATTTGTCTGACAAAAAGGGGGGTGTCCAAAACAGTCGTCTGGGGCTGCCTAAAAACCACCTCCTTTATCTGGTCAAATCAAAAACAAACTATTCCGCACCAGAATTTAAACCTAGATAGAGGACATACTGGCTGCCGAGTTGTTGACAGAGAAGCCAGCACTTCAACATAGCATGTTTAATGTCTGATCATATAGGTCATTTTATAATTTCATTCAGTAGATTTCTTACAGATTGCTCCTTTAAGTAATCATAGCCTCAAACTAAGATTATTCTCTTATTTTTGTGATCTACAGTTTAATATGGAAAAGTACCATACTGTAGCTTTAAACAACAACAAAAAAAAGTCAGCTCTTCAATCATAGTTGAAAACAAGAAACTACCCAATAATGGTACTTCTTTTTTTCTATCGCCCTTTAACCAAAACAGGCTCAAACCAACTTTATTCTCTGCCCTGCGACGTGAGTCAGATGTTAAGACCGATCACGCTGATGGTAGTGGATGTAATTTGTTTTCTGATACCATGAACTGGCTGGTTTAGTTTGTACGTACTATGCAGAACATTGTGTGTTTGCCTGTGTGTCTGATGTATGTTTATCTGCCTGCGTGTGCCTGCTTGATACATAACGTCTGTATGCGTGTGTGTTGTGACAGTGACAGTGAGCAGCATGGATTAAGAGAATCACTACTGACAGGCTGTGATGGCAAACTGTGAAATGGAAATAAAGCCTCTTGTCATTACAGCACCAACTCTCTCTCTCTCTCCCACTCGCAGACACACAGGCAGGCACAGCAAGACAGCAATGATTACAGACAAACGAGCAAATAACATCTCCCAGCACTCCCTCGCTGGCAGATTGAACTCAAATTGTTATGAGAGACATGCGTAGTGAACAGAGGATTGTTTTGAATGCTTACAAATACTGCTGCCACTAAAACTGAAGGCTTCGCGGAGCAATGGGGGGAAAAGCTTCTCTTTGAAATCAGTTTTCGAGAAATAAACCCCACAAATCAGCTCCCTGGTGTGCAGCATACAGTATGTAGTGTGCATTTGCAACCACCAACAGCCATTAAAAGGCTGTTTTGTAGCTTTTTTTTCCACCTTTTTAAGTGTCACTGCCCTTTACTAAATCGCTAATCACATTGTGTTCTCTCTCTCTCTCTCTATGTGGAGTGACCTCATCTTTGCATCAGCAAGTCTTGAGTGTAGTTTTATATCTTCTGTCAGAGTTCAGCTTCAGGACGACGCTGAAACCATAATTGCTCTTTAGCAATGTGAGATGATTGGAAACATGTCGGAGAAAAATGTCATATGGAGGCAATATCCTGTCCAGGAACTAGACTGAACCCAATCAGAAAAGACTCCTAACGCACACACACACTAAACTTATCTTTTTTGTTGGCAGTCTATTGAGAAATGTTTACTTTGGTTTCTTCTTGCTTATCAGCGATAACCACGGTCCACTTCAAACAATGGGACAGCACACCTTGAGCAAATTTCACATCCAAACATCTACAGATTAGCCCCTGGACGTATGCTGGGCCCTTCATGCATCCTGTTTGTCCACTGTCTATGTTTGAATAAGTGTGACTTGAATAGTGTGCATATCTCTGTTTAAGTGTGTGTGTCTGGCGTGTGTGTGTAAGACAGAAAGTTGTCACCCAGTTTTTGCCACTCCCTTCAGTCCCTTTTTTTTTTTTATTGCGCGTGTTTGTCTCTATGTGTCTATATGTGTGTGTTTGGCCTGCTTCCCACTGCAGATTATTAATTAAGTTCTGGTAAGCGGTGCATGCCTCGCCTTCAGATCCACTTCCACTCTCTTAAAACACACACTCACACACACACACACAAGTGACTGTACGCACACACAAACACGCACATACTTCAAAGCAGCCGCACTCCACACAGCAAGGATTAAGAGGCGATTGAAGAGCCTGATACAGCCTCAAAGTGCCTTCAGCACAAAAAATGCCTTTGGCAGGGCACAGGTAGTCTCTTTGAAAGTGCTTACACTTACACACACACAGACACACACATATAGCTAGGCTTTTTAATTTAGCTCTTGATTTTCTCTTTGTGTTTGTCACAGTCCTGTTGGGCTATTTTTCCCTCGCATGTTCAATCCATATCTTCATCTATTTGCAGCCATTTTTAATGTGCGTCTAGATACCGGAGTTGTATAATGTATGAAGTTGTATAATGCTTCCTGCTATAATTCCCTGGAGTGGCGCTAGGTAAAAGGAATAGGCTAGTAGCAAGCTCTTTATGTTTTTATGAGACATCTGAGCGTGTTTGCATGTCAATATGGCCATATGTTTATCTGTGAACTCATACAGTACAGAGACACACACACACCTCATCACTGCACATTTAAATGCAAAGGTGATGCTCATGTGTAACTCTGATGGTAACATTTTCTGCTGTTATATATAGACAACAAAGATAATGACATCACATCAGAGATTATTGCAGTTATGGTGTTTTCTTTAAGAAATGAATGACGCCTCCTTGCAAGTTAAAAAGAGGCAGATTTTTGATCATGAGACTACTAAACTAACTAAATACTAACAGCCACAGTGACATCAAGCTAATCTGGAGCGCTCCAGCAGCAATAAAGAAGACAACGAACGTGTCATTCAGAAAGAATAACATTGTAGAACTCTTTTTTGCACCCCTCTCACAGTTCCACTTCCTTGTCTTGACTTTTTCTACTCCCTTCTTTGTCTAAGCCTCTCTCATCATCTGCTCGAGGGCCCCTAGAGACCGAGCAGGGCTGCCACTCAAAAGAGTCCTGGCGCAGGAAGACAGGGCCCGTATCCTTGGCGATGGCTCTGTGTGTCTGTGGTGACAGGTGTGTGTCCGCTCCGAGCAGGACGCCAGTGTTTGTCAGGAAGTGTTTGGAATGGGCTGCGGAGTCCAAAGCAAAGCGCAGGCGTTGAAGGCTGCGAGGGGGTGCGATCAGTGACAGTGTTTGTCAGAGGGTCGTCTGTCTGTCAGTGGCTGTCAGGACAGGAGTGTGTGTGTGAGTGAGTGTGAGCATGCATGTGTGTGTTTCACTCTCAAGGATGTTTTTATGCATCACTGTTTTTTTAAGCATTTTTTTTATCCAAATACTCCTAAGTCAAATATTTCAAGAAATGTAAAATAACAGATTTCACACACCCTGTTGCTTATTACATCAATGGCATTGCAAGATGCTTGCTTTTAGACTTTCTTACAGTTGTCTTGCAATGAGTTGAGATGGAACATCTTTAAACACCTGTGGGGGAATATATTAAAGGAAGAATATGCGACTTTTTGACCCAGCAGATGTCGCCCTTGAGCACCAGAGTGAAACCAAAACAACTCGAGCTGCATGATTGTGTTAGCATGCTAATGCTAGCGCTCTTTAGTTTGCCCGTATCTTCACACTGCATGTCAATTTACACGAAATGACCGTGATTTAAAAACGCTTACGTGACATTCAGTTAAGCAGTGAGTACAGTATGTTATTCTTCTTTTCTATAGTCCCTCAATTAAACAACTTTTATACGAGAGGGGATGAGCCGGCCGTCCCGTCCATGTAAACACGCTGTAGATACGGCTCAGACAACATCACAGACAGTGGGACTCAGGTTATTTTCCGAGGATGTATTTGATTTCTGCTACATTTATGTGTAAAATGTTGCACATTCAGCCCTTAAGTTATAGAAAAGGACAACTGGCACATAGTGATAGAAGATAGAAGAGCACAATAACATCAAGCAGCTGACATATAGACTTGTCCTGAACAGATTTATGAATGAGAATAATCGTTGATTTCTTTATATTGTGAGTTATTAGAATCTCATCAGTACAAACAAACTGATGCACAGTTTTTTTTTTTACTTTCAGACACACGTTTAAAAGCTCAGGTTGATCCACATGTCCTGAAAACACTTGCCCGGCTTTCAAACGATGACCTCTTTACCCCATTAATTTAGGCTTTAGTCTTTCAACAGTACTTGTATAAACCGTGTCACTGCACGTACAGCCAGCTATTGACATCGCCGTCGCGCTCCACCACTTCACACCCAATTATCTCACTCAACTGTTCAGCCTCTCAATGAAACTCTGGCATCACAACACGGCTCGCTGAGCGGCGGCAGATCATGTACTAGACGCTCGCGGTCTCTGCTTCCAGCTGGCTAGCTTCCCACAGAGAAAACAACTGAAAACAAAGAGTGGAGCGGCGCTCAATAAACTCCAAACAACAATCTCCATTCACTGCTCTTCTGTCTCCTCTGTGTTTTGTCTCCCAGCTTCTCGCGATCAGCCCTCTTCTCTTTCTCTCTCCCTATAGCTAATTGGCAGCAGCGTTTTAATTCCCCGTGCCCCTCCTTCTTGTTAAGTGATGAATTGTTGGCAGGGGATCAAAGGGGGAGTGATGCCCACTGTGCACCGTGCCCGTCGCTACCTGCTGGCACACATGAACATTGGGACTGGCGCTGCGCCAAGGGGCCACAGGCCTGCACCGGGGGGACACACTGCCAAGAGGCAGAGGTCAACATTAGTGTGTGTGTGGACAGATTGGGAGTGTGTGCCCTTCTCCTCACACAAGATTACATTTCTCAACTCTCTGTCTTTATGTCTCTGTATCTGTCTGTCTGCATATCTCCGCCTCACACTCCCCTCTCTCTCTCTCTTCTTGTTGCAGACCAACACCAGGCTGAAGCAGATTGAGAAGGAGTGCGCTCAGAAGCTCGCAAAGAGTGCCCTGGTAAACAATTTTCTCTTCTTCCCCTTTTGATGATGATATCAAATATACCGATGGGAGAGGTGAGGAGGCACACTTAAAAACACACCAACACCTCTAAAAAAAAACATGTGCACACAACATATCCTATATCTGGTATTAGATTTATGAAGAGCTCAGGTAAATCTAAACTGAAAAGACAGATCAGCATCAATGTCTACTGAGTTTGAGTTAATTCAAACTAAGTCATTTATCCCTTCGGTCGTCATAGCAACACCACAACCTCACAACTACTTTACAAATACGATTAGTCTGTCTCGGTTGGAAGTGCATACCATTGTTTTGGTTAATTGTCCGTACATGAAAGTTTATGTTACCTCCCATATTTTGCACCGATACATCTTAGATTCAACGACCAGTTTATGTCTCTCGTGTTTCTCAGCCGTTCACTGCAGTATTTATCCTGTTGAATCACTTTCACTAGTGTTGTCCTCTCCTTCACTCTCTCTGCTTCTTTCTTTATTTCACCTCATCCTGTCCTAGCATCATCTGGTCACACATCCAGTTAAGGTCCATGCGTCTCCTCCTCTTAAACAGAGGTAATTTCTCCTCTCCAGACGGGTTTTGAACCTCCTAAGACAACTTCTGTCATTCAATGAAAAGTCTCTGAAAAGTTCAGGCAGCTTTCACCTCCGCAGTTTAAACGATCCCAAACATCCAAAGTGGTGTTTACATTAGAAGAGAAAAGAGTTGTCTTGATTATGTGGCAGGCTAAAATATCACAATCATTTGGCCATAATTGCACCTTGTTACCCACAGAGGAGATTCAAAGAGGAGGTGGGGTGGGGCGAAGGGGGGGTTTGTTGTTTTTCTTTCTTTCTTCTCCTTTTTAAATCCCCCCATTTTGGGGTTGGCTGGCAAAGGCGCAGAGTTGAAAGCGGGGTTGACAAGCAGATGTTGTGAGAAAACGGTAGCTTATTAGGTTACACAATGCTCGACTTCAAAAGAAGTGGGATACGGTGCGAAAGTTCAGCCGTGTTTGCCTTGCTTTGGTGCTTTTTTATGCCACCGCAGACAAAGCAACAAGTGATTAATCCTCTGTTTTGGGGAGCTGATTCTGGCTCAGGTTCAAGGAGCGACACTCTCTCTCTGACATTCAAGTGAAGTCCCCTGTGCGCAGAATTCAACACCTTTGTTGGAGTGTGTTGTTGTACGGAGGTTTGTGCTGATGCTGTGGGTTTTTTTGTGCAAACACATTAATATGCGTGATTAATGCGGGGTATTTGTCGTTGGCTTGGGCGGCTTTGTTTTAAAAGGTAAAGGTGGAACCTCCCTTGGGGCATCTCAGTCAAATGTAAACAAGAGGCCTTTGAACCTCAAAGGCTAACCCCAGTTGTTAACCCCTCGGTGTCTGACAGGGGGCATCGCTCTTGAGCTCAACTGCATGGCTAATAGCCCAATTAAAAACATACCACGCCATACATTATCCTGAGGGGGCTGCGGATGCACCACGTACGGGTGTACGATGACGTGCATGCACACGCACATTCCTTCTGTGTGCTTGAGTCTCTTTTCTCCACCTTTCTCAATCACACACACACACACACACACACACACACACACACACACACACACACACACACACACACACACACACACACACACACACACACACACACACACGATGAATCTCCTAATTAGTATCTCTCCAATACAATCTTGTGTGTTAAGCGTCTAGCTGTGAGTGGTCCTCTTGGGTGACCTGTGAACTGAACAGGGCTCTGTTCCCCCACTTAATGATCAGGCTGCAGTGGGTGGTAGTTGTGGTACTGGTGGGAGATCATTACTTTATCCCTGCTGTCCAATGTGGAAGTAGGTTGGAGGGAAAGCATGAGAAGCACCACGTTCTGAAAGAGAGAGGTTGAAGTTCAGTCCGTATGCAAATGTTCATCATTTATTTAGGCTCTATGCTGGTTGTGAGGTTCCAGCAGCAGTGTTCACATGCGACTTCTAAGACACGTCTTCACTAAATGTGATCTGATACTGAGTATTGATCCATGTGGACATTGTTCTCTCTTCTTCAGTTCTTGGAGACACTGATTCACTATCCCTCTCTATTTAACCTCCAGTTACCTCCTCTATTGATCAGGTTTAGACGTGCTATGATCAATACTTTCACATTGTAATGTGAAAAGGGGTCAGAACCCACAGGACTTCACCATCCAACTCTATATCTCCATAACTATAACACTTAATGTTAATCTTTTATGGATTTTTTAAAATTAACTTTTCAACCCATAAATGTCACCTTTGCGTCCCCTCTCACTGCCTTCGTCTGCTTTTTTTTCCTGACCTTTTCAGGGGAAATATTCGATAGTTAAAAAGGTTGGACGTGGTCAAAGTGAAGCAAAAGTGCATTTAAGCTGCATTACTTCTAAAGGCAAGCAGGGGGCAGCACAACTGGGAATGAGCGCGGGGAATGACATGCAGGAAAGGTGCCACAGGTCGGATTTGAACCCGGGCCGCCTGCCTGGGTCTGTGCATTGGACGCACATCTTAACCCTAAGCCCCCCAACTGGTTGCAATAATCGATAAAATATACCTCATGAATCCCTGAGGGGGAACTCTACTTGTTCACTCTGTTGTTGAGTCATGCTAAACACACAGGCACACGCTACATATTCTAAAATCAGCCACCGAGTTTTCACAGACATCACAGGTGATTTTTTTCTTTTTTTATGGGGGAGAGAGCATCCCCTTTTCATGGTGGCCGTCATTTGATTGCCTTAGTCACACAGTGTTCTGTTTACAAACACTAAATAATCTCCAGACACGCTCATTTCTCCCTTTTATTACCTGAGGTTCATGGAGAGGTAGGCCTGCCTTTAGCCCTGAACAGAGATGCTAGCAAGCTGAGGGGGGGAAAGACTCAGTCTCACCAGACCAATTACAGACTTAAAAAGGCCTGGCTGGCTATCAGACAGAGAAAAAAGGTGCTGCGGTGTGTGTGTATATATACAGGAATAACAAGACAGACAGCTGAGTTCACTAGTTTAGAGTGCCGCCACCGCCTGGGGCTGAAGACCAGCAGATGCAGGGAATCCATATTGCTAAATAATTATTACGCCCTGAAATGATGTTCCCATAATAATGCGCCATTTGTTGCTTTCATGTGGCTCTCCCTCTGACAAAATAAGCCTAATCTCCCTCTCATCTCTCTCTCTCTCTCTCTCCTTGTCTCTCTAGCTCTCTCTATCTGTGGTCGACCCGCTTCACTCTTAACTCCCTTACTCCCACACAGTGTGCAGATTCCAGCAGGCCTAGTCCTCCAGAGTTTCAACACAGTAAACAATTATCTGTCTAGCCCAAAGCTAGCAGTAGCACATTCCCCCCCCATCCAAAACTATGTGTCTTTCTCTTCCCCCCCCTTTTCTCCCATCCTCTCCCCCTCTCTTTCACTCTCTCTCATCTTTCCCCTGCCTTTCCCTGACAGTGGCTTAAATAGAATGTTAATTTTGACTGGAGGATTTCAAAGCCAAGGCAGTTCCTTTTCATCTTAGTGTGCACCGCAAGTTCACCAACACAAAGTCACTCTGCTCTTCAAAAAAGGAAGTTGTTTTTTTTTTCCTTCCTGTCTATTTTTTTTTTCTTTACATCCTTCTTTTTCTCTCTCTCTGCTTTTTTTTCCCCCATGTTTTCTGTCTAGTCTCAAAAAAGACACAAGACATGAGAGTCTGGGAAAAGCAGTGTTTCAAGGTGATTGTTACTGCCACCTCAAATCCATGACAAATGTGAAAGCGTTTTCCCCTCCATGTGTTGCTAGTCGCTCACTCAGACCAGTGAGTTGAACTGTGCAGAAAACATGTTTTGCATTTTTTGATCTTGCAACAGGTTTTTCTCTCCACTTTTCATTCATCTAGATCATCACTTGTTTCAAACATGAGAACACAAGAAGTAACTGTAACTCATCTTCACCGGGACAAATGATCAGTACTTTCAACACGGAGCAGTGGATGTGTTCTCCATCTGTCACTGATGGGTTTTTTTTTATCATGGACACACAGGCTGATCAGTTAAAATCAAGAATTAAGATTTTTTTTCTTTACTCTCTCCAACAGTTGATCGCAGAGTTGCAAACATCGGTTTGTGACTCAAAGGAGGAGGCCGTCCGTCTGCAGCAGGCAATGGAGAAGCAGTTGGAGGAGAGCAATACGAGATGGGATGAAGAGAGGAGGACGATAACTCACCACGCAGATCATGCCAACAAGGTCAGTGTTGGACATGCGCTGAATCCGCTCATTTATTTTTCCATTTGACACAAACGAATAAAAAGCTGCATATTTGGAAGATTGCTAAACACCACTCCTCTGTACGTCACTGTAAAGACCACCACTGCTCACTTTAGAGGGGAGGATGAAATCATTTATTTTCAGGGTTCACTAAGGGGGGCCATGGATGTTTAGATGATGCTAGTGACTGCATATCAACATATGTATTTTTTTTTCTATGCAAATCTTTCAATTTAGAAAAAATAAACACCCTTTTATCCAATCAGAATCGAGGGAGCACTATAAGTGAGACGGGTGTAGCAGAAAGTTACTGCACACTTAGGAAATAGTTACTTACCTCCTTTAGAAAGGGAACAAGGTAATAAGGAAAGTTAAGAAGGAATAAGAGACTGTTTATAACAGAAGGAGAGACGTTGAAGGTCATGAATAAAATGTTTTCACTGTCACTAATAATGTTGATTATTGTGAAGACTTATATACTGAATATAAAAGGAAATATATGAAGAAGTTGTTTGTTTAGTTTTTGATATTTGCCTTTGTAATGTACAAGGAGTTAAGACATTTTGGAGGAGGGTCCTGCTGCTGGAAGCATCTGCATCAGCTTTGTGTTCTTTTCTTTTTCTATTTTGTATCTATTTCTCTCATCATCCTTTCTTCTTTATCTTCTAGAGGTCCGGTACACTTTGTGGTTTCATGTGGTTTTCCCCTTCAGACTCAGAGGATGGGGCGTCAGTAAACTTTATCCTCCACAAAGCTTTGTCTGGATTGACATTTTATGGAGCAGACACGGGGCGCTTTCCTTTTGTCCGAGCGCGGCCACAGTGTGTTTGCCTGTGTGCTCTGTCATTTTTTAGGGCCAGTTACAAACTTCACAGTGTCTCTTAAGTGGCGTGTGTGCTCTGTGTCTGGCTGAACCTTGTAAATCTGTCTGCTGCACCCCACTTCTTAAGTCCGAGCCTCTCTATATCATGACTGTGGTTCTGTTTTTTACAGTTAAACTTGACTACACTGAGACTCCTCCTCAAAGCTGTAACCTGTTGTTTCTCACTTTTGTCTTCTTCTTTGAACCGGTCTTAATTTAACTTCATGTGCTTGTGCTTCAAGTTGATTAGTGATTAGAAAAGTCTCTTTCTCTTTGACTTTGAGGGGCCACTGCTTCATAATAGAGGTTTTGCAGCTAGATTAGTATAAGGACTGAGTTATTTGAGATATCTTGGTTAGCTCAGGAAAACTGAAATAAGCTATTTAAAAAAACTGCTCTCACTCCTGTTGCCGCCTTATGTAGTCTGATTCTTTTATTGTGTACAAATATAAAATATCTAATGTTCCTTTTTCTTCCCGCTTTGCCCTGGTCTCATCTGCCCCCCCCCCCCCCATACATACTCCACTTTCGGACTCCCAGGATCTTTTATTCTGCCGTCTACCCCGGCAACCAGCCTGGGACACAGTGGCAGTTGATTGGGTGTGGCTCGCTAAATAAAGACTTGTTGTGTCTGGGATCAGGACATGTTTCCAAACACAACCTTGTCTGTTTGCGGTTGCAGCTGCCTCGTATAGTAAGGAGGCAATGTCTGTGAGCCTCCCTTCAGATATCTTCTCTTTCAAGGACCCCGTTAACCTCGGCTTCTTTTTTTCTCAGACCGGTTTCTGCTAAAGGGGCCCCTTTCTTAGAAGTGACCTGCCCCGGCTCTTCCCTCAACTTAGAACCTCAGAAGTGTCTTCTCTTTCTGATGCTGTTCATGCTAGGGTTGTAGAGATACCAGAATTTGAGCTTTGATTGATTAAATAATAGTAAAAATAAAACAACATGAAGACCTGCTTTAATACCACGGTGACAGGAATAAAGTTCTAGGCACCAAGTATTCAGAAATGTCTTGTTTTAATTTCCAAAAAGTGCAAGCAAACTCCTGCACACTGTCTAAATTGCAAAAATTCATTGGCAGTATTTCTGTATTTGTTCATTTTAGACAGTGCCACCTCCTCTCCTCTCTAAAGTTTTTAGAGACACCTTTCCTGATGTCAGTCTGTGAAACTTTTAGAGCAGCTTCACAAGATTGGCAGCTCAAAGATCTCCTTACATATCTTATACTGGCGCCGGTAAAAACCCTCATTTCAGCCAGCTTCCTGGAAGCCTTCTGAGGGGCAGAACGCTGCAGGGCTACCAGGAGAGGGCTGTTCTCCAGTGCTGGGAGAAGAGAGCCTATATAAGAGGTTTCAACAGCTTATGAAAAGGCTTCGTCTCGTGAACTGCTGGGTCTCATATCAGGGAACTATCGCATGACTTGCAGGACAAGCCATCAAGCGTTCTCTGCAGATTTATTACAACGTTTAGTTTGTGCATCCAGCATTGTGACACTTTACGTTATGTGAGATTTAAAATGGGGATCAGCACTTCTGAAGATTTTGATCCTATCGATTAGAGGTGTGGGGAAAAATCAAGATTCTTATCTTCTGATATTTTAAATAGATTCATAACTTATGACTAATCAGTCACTCTCTGCTAAGCGCTAATGCTAGCTCTTTAACTCAGTAGAATACCAAATGGAGCAGCAAGAAATTCAGCCAGTCTCACAGATGACTGGAGTCGATCCTGAAGTATGCACTAATTCAAAAATAGACTTCCATGAATCCATGGATCCAGCATCGTTTTGAATCGAAAATAGATTCTGAATTGAATCATGACCTCAAGAATCGAAAGACTAATCGACCCATAAGATTCCCAGCCTCACTATCGATCATTGTTTTAATACACGTGGTTGTGAAAAGTTTTGAAGTATCAAACATTTTGGCGACCTTAATTCACACGTTTGACAGAAAAGACTGTTTATGGTTCTGTGGTTCAAATTATTGAGTCGTAATCCTTTCACAGAATCCACAGGGGGCTCATAGTGATCTTCAGATCTTCTTCATAAACTCGTTCACTGTGACTCCATGTTCAGATTATTATCCATAACGCTGCAGGAAAAAACGTCTCCAGTGGGACTGCACACATGCAAAGCACTGAAGATGAGCTGCTGACTTTTTTATGCTTAAGTGACACAATGATGTTTCACCATGCTTTCAGTCATGAGCAATTTATTGAGACATTTTTAACTCCTGTTACGTATTCACAACCTGTTTAAATGGTACAAAAATCTACAGAATCACTGTGCAGCTACAAACACAGATACACATGACTCCAGATTTCATCCCTTATTTACTCTTAATGTCCGTGATGTGTTTCCAATGACTCAGGCAGAACTAGCTTGTGTTCTAGCTTTGTAGTTACTTGTAATCTAACTGCATAATGACACAACACACACAGGCTTTTTTCCCCTGCTGTGTGCTGAGTTACAAGACACAGGCCTTGGCATCTGTGTTGGGAGCAGACAAAGGCTTTCTGTTTCCATTATCTGTGGCCTCATTATTACGATCCCCCCTGTATTAACCACCCGCTAATGAGACTCCAATTAATGGTTGAATCGCTTATTAAAGAAGGCCAGACATGAGGGAGAGAAGACGATCAATGAGAGAGAGGAAGGTAAGATTGAAGAAAAAAAAAAAAAACAGCAAGTGAAGAGACAGAAAACGGAGAAATAAAATAAAAAGTTTGTGTGAAGTTGAAAGCAAAGGGAGACGAAGAAGGATGAGATGGTAAACAAAGAAGGGGAAGAAAGAGTGGGAGAGGCAACAAAGGGATGGAGGAAGTGTAGGGATTGAGACAACAAACAGAAGGACAAGAGGAGAGAGAGGGGGGGGGAGAAAAAGAAAGACATGGCGGAGAGCTGTCAGTGGGCCATCAGAGGGAGTGTGTCGCCTGCTGACATTGTTTCCATGCTGCTCACTTCAAAGGCCTCGGATTATGAAGAGAGCGAGGGGCTTCAGACAATGGGAGGGGAAGAAAATAACATCAAAGTTAGCCGCGCATTTGAATCGGGATAATCCCAAAACAGTTGTTCTGAATGCACGCCGCACCGGATCAGATGTCCCTTTTTTTCCTTGCCAGCCCTGTTCCGCCGTTTCTGGCCTGAATTTAGTTCCCTCTGTGGCTCTACTGTACTTGGGACTTCTTAAATGTGGGTGTTAACTGCGGGGACCTTTTGTATCTCGTAAAGCCCTTTTTTTAGAACAACAGGAGTACAGTTAAGTATGCTCATTATCTGGCCTTTTTGGTGACGTTTAGGCGGAGGAGTGTTTTTGTGAGCGTGTACATTTAGGCACATTGAGTGTGTGTGTGCTTCCTGTGTCCTTCACATTGTTTTCCTCAGTTTGAATATCACATAAAGTCAATATAAAAGTGGATGATGTAGTGAAATGAAGTGTGCTGGTCTCTTTAGTATGACTCTTCTTTGGAGTCAGATGAGCCGAAACACTGGGATAACACTAAGAAGCCCTTTCTGGTTTTCTCATGTGAGCTCAGGCTGCATTTCTGCCAAACAGTGTTTTTCTCTCACTTGAAGAAACGGTGTAGGTTTACAAGATGTTTAAAAAAAAAAAGCGTATTTATTGAGTACGACTAAAACTGGACTTTAAAAAAGGCCTGTAAACATGTTCGTCCAACTGAAATATTTCCCATTTCTTGAAGCCGGACTAACACACCTAGATATTGTGCACTGGTCTTGATTTACTCATGCAAGTACAGTATACACTTTGGTTTTTCAGTTACCGCACCAGACTTTGACACAGAAGTGGAGCAGAATAAATGCACAGAAGAAAGCAAAGTGAAGGTATCAACGTGGTCAGTGTTGTGTCCAAATCTTCCCCCCTTGACATACAACCAATCTGCCGCTTGCTAACATCTTTGTCAATTGATCCCTATGTGATGTAAAAGGTCAACTGGAAAAAGGTCCAATAGTAACAAGCAGAAAGGGAGCATATCGCCACCTACTGTAGCGGAGGAGGATGTACTCGCGTCAAAAGATCGATTCTCCCTCAGGGGGTTAGAGGTTAGAGGTATACTGAGAAAAGTACAGAAGTCCAATGAAAACAAGCTTTAGCCA